CTATTTCGCTACCTGCTATGCACAACCGATCAGCAAATTATCAGGTTCATTATGAAGAAATCGACAGCCAGGATTTTCTGTCTGGCAGAAGCAGAGATGCGACGAAATCGCAATGCCATGAAAGTCTAGAACCAAAGTTATCCACAAGTACCGATTACATTCCAAATTTTATCATTAGAGGCCGTAGTGAATCGTTCATACATATACCGGTACACGTTATTTAACCTTTCTCTTGGCTCGGGTGTCTTTCCATCGGCATGAAAGAAAGCGCGTAGGTACACATGTTTTAAAAAGGTGGGGCTTCTATAACGAGTAACTACCACCCAGTATCTTTATTATGTGGGTTTTCTAAAGTGTTCGATCGAGTTATGCATCGCCGAAGTTCCTTTTATTTCGGCCAGAACTTTGTAAGTTGCTAGCACGGATTTCTCAAAGGGCGGTCGGTTGAAACAAACCTGCGCGCCTTTTTTAACTACTCTCCTCCTATTGTGACAGAGGACAAGTCGATTGTGTATATTTTCATATTTCGAAAGTTGTCAAGAAAGTAATCATATGTGGTAGTTACAGAAATGATTAATGCGTTAGCGGTAGTACCCACATGACAGAAAAAAGCCGACGGCGTCCGTCTGTGCACAGAACAGTGGAAAATGAAGCGCGTCGCGTAGAGAGGAGCAGACTAGTGAAGGACAACGGCGAGAGGGAGGCGACCTAATGAGGCGGAAGCCAATGCGCGCCCGAATGCTGGGGCGAGTTTGAACTTGCAGGTATGCGGAGCGCGTATGCCTTGCTTTGTGCTACAAAATGGAGTTTTGTGAACCAAGTACGAGCGTTGGTCGAAGTAGGCGGCAAAAACATTAAAGGAAGATCTATTGGTGGATCCATAGGGAATGCGTCAGCATGACTATAGGGAAACGCCACACACGTTCACCTTTGGGAAGCAGGCACTAAGACTGACCCCGTAACGAAGCCAAAAAGAGGCAGCAAAAAAATAGATGAAGCAGGAGAGAAAGCCAAAACAGAAAAGTGACAGGGTCAGCGTTAGCGTTTCCCAAGGGTCATGCTAACGCATTCCCTAAAGATCCACCAATGGATCTTTTGTTATGCATAGAGTCTTTGCCTAAAGTTGTGTGACTGGCTCCAAAGTTAACCATCTTGTCGCCGAAACAAAGTCCGCGTACTTCTTCAAACGTTTTCTTTTCAACTCCCGGTGTCCTCCAAGGAACCATTCTTGGTCCTCTTTTGTTTTTAGCCGCTTCGGTGACTCCGAGGACAAAGCGCCGGCTTACGGATCCCAAGGTGCCAGGTTGGAACCCCGGCCGAAGGCCCGCCATCTGACTAGCGGACAAAGTGCTGTGTAACCAAAATTTCAGTTGTACTTCAAAATATCTCCAGGTGGTCGAAGTAAGTCCTCAGTCCTCCGCTGGGGCGTGCCAATTGCCCTTCGTTGGTCTGGCACGTAAGACCCCCAAATTGAAAACTTTTGTTGTTGATATTTTCAATGGCTTAACTTCGCACGTCAATGGTCAGCTATTAATGTTTGCAGATGATATTAAAATTCTTATAAGTGTGCTTTTTTTTTTTATTGCGGTGTTTTACGGCAAAATGTAGCATGGATAGTCCAGTGGAGCTCAGTCAACACGTTATCATTGACTCCATTGAACACCAATATGGCGTGCAAGTTCGTCTGCTCCTTGCGCACGTCGTGCGTTTGTTTACCCGGCAAATGCGCCCACGCGCTTTTTGTTTGCCCCCGACCTCAACCAATGATGACACGAGCTTGGCTGCTTCGTCATCGCGCATTTCCTGCGTGTTCGCTGTGTTGTCCTCTGACTGGCGTGCCCCTCCCTCGTTCCCTTGCGCCAGACTCATTTTGGAACAATTGACTTGCCGTTGATGTGCGACGCCACGATGTGTTACATTCCGATTATATACGTTCTGAAAGGAAGGCTAATCAAACGTTTATCTGCTGTGAGAGACCTTGGCGCCTGCTTAGATTGCGCACTGACGTTTGGTGCCCACGTGTGTTTGATTGTTCGCCATGGGGGGCGGCAAAAAACGCTGGGCATCATATGTCACGCATCGCGGACTCGCAAACCGGTGTCCACCATCCGTTTACTCTTGCCTTAGATCTACGAAGGCTAGAATTGTGCTCCGTCACTTGGGATTCGTTACACTCAAACTCGGGCAACAAAAAAATAACTAATTAAAACGTCTTTATATATATATATATATATATATATATATATATATATATATATATATATATATATATATATATATATATATATATATATATATATATATATATATATATAAATAAATGAAGATGTTCAGAGAAGGGTAATTCGCATTGTTTACGACCGATATTTCGGACGCCAATTTTATCCCTCAACGATACTTCGTTTTAATGCGAAAGCATTAAATGGGGTCCCATGGAGCGAAGCCGGCGTTAGCAGCGAAACGGCAGCTAAATTCCCATTGGCCAAAAGCACGTACAGCAACGCAGATGCTTCGTCACGGAAGCCGGCGGGGCGCACAAGGTCAAAGCGGACGCGCCTCACAAATAAAACAGAAAGATAAGCGCAGCAACGCAGATGCATCGTCACGGAATCAGTGGATCCGGCGGGGTTCACCGCGCCTGCGCAGTGGGGTAGCGTGATATGTCACTGCCGGAGCGCCGTGTGAAAAAGGAAGACGTGGCGCGCTGCTTGTAGGAATGCGAAAGCATTCCTACACTTAAACAGTCTTAAGTGTCTCTGCCGAATTTTGTTTTTCTTTGATATGCCTAGGACCCTGTTCGATCGAAGAGCAGAGCGTGATCTAACGTTTTTGTACAAGCTAGCCTTTGAGGTGACGTCAATATTCATGTCCCATCTCGTTAAACTTTACTCCGTTTCACACTAAATCCGACCGCAGCCAATGCTCTAAGATCCGAAAGTGCCAGGGTGCTGTTATTAGAGCACCCTGGCACACAGCAGCTGAAGCCACCCATTGAAAACCGTGAGTAAACACCCGATGAAAAGTCTCGTGCTAACCCGACTAGGATTTTCTATTTTCGGATAATTCCGAAAACCTTGGAAAAACACCCTTAATTAACAACCACTGTTCCGGTTTCCAGCTTGGGACAGGCACGTAGACAGAGGGGGGGGGGGGGGGGGGGGGGGGGGGGGCCGCCCCCCCATTCGCCGCCCCCCCGGAAATTTTCCATTTTGCTGGGGCCTCCTCTCCCACCTTCCCCTCATACGGCATTTTGTCATGGGCGGCCCTCCCCCCCCTGAAACAAAATCCTGGCTATAGACCATTCCATTTAGCGCTCTCTGGGCGGCACCATTTTGTTCGACAGCAGCGCCCTCTCCATACATCTGGGAAGTTCAGCGGGTTCGGCGGGGTAAAACGAGAGAGAGAACACGCGCCCGACTCCGCTAGCAGACGACAAAACGGGAGGTTGCCCAAGAGAGGTTCGGCGCTGTTTCATTCGCTCATAGTGACCACGGCGGCGGCTGTTGCCTCGGTGAAAGCGAATTATTGGAGAGAGCACGGCCTCTGACAAGAGACGTTGCCATTCTCCATCTTTGGGCTGTATCGGCGGGCTGTACGGAGCATCGAACTCTCGCTCGTGGCTGCCGTTGTGAAGTGGTTCGCGTTCTTAGAATAGTTATGGCTACTCCAAAATCAGCCTAGAGCTCTCTGTTGTTCTACTTCGGCAAATGATCAACTGACATATCTTTTTTCCGTTACCTAAATAGCAATTGAGTCAGCCGACAGTACTACCCTCAACTACTGCGTGTACTGCGGCAGGAGAGCACGTTTTTATTTATTATTTCAGACATCCACTCATGGTCGCTAAAGGCCTACACCAGTACGAACTTCGTGTAGTAAAAAAAGGTACAGCCACCGGATTCACTTTTCGCCGGAGAGACCGGCCTGTCCGACACAGTTTTCCCTATTTTTTTTTTTTATTTGCACACAGATAACACTCTGTTAGTCTTTTTTTTTTTATCTAGCATAGTAATACACGATAACTGGCATACCAAAATCTGCGCATTTGCGCTTGAAATTTACAAAATGACGCGATTTTAAACAGAGTTTGTACGCCAGCCGGATGCCAGATAGAGCACACTCGGCGGAGCAGACGACATACGGGCCGAGAGGGGGAGGGCATTTTTTTCTCTTTTTGCCCTCTCTGCTATTTTTTGCAAGTTTTGTCGTGGGACATTATTAGTATTGCCAAAGGGCGCCAACGCCAAATCCAGCTGACGTAATATTATTTATTACAAGCGCGTTCTTTCGAATTTAGATATCGCACGTTTACAGCCGGATATGATTTCTTTTTGTCTTCGAAAAATAGAAAACATTGCAAAATGCAACTGCCAATTTCGGAGAATTGCGAATCTAACAAGAATAAACTCCGATAAACTCTATATGTTCGGCAAAAAATTAACTCTGAATAACATCCTCCGAATTTTACGAAAAATAAAAACACGAAACCCTAATCATAATAACGTACCCAACGCATTGATACCTAGGCCATAAACGCGTTCACATCAGTGAAGCGGCTTGTGAGGGATTCGAATACAACACGAATTTTTCTCAATCAGGGGCCCAGTAAGTTTTGGCGCTGCCTTAACGTTGTGACAGTAATGCCAATAATAATAAAAACTGCCTTGAAAATTAAAATTGAGTTTGCTTGTCTTTACTCGCGACGATGGAACGTTGCCGAGTTTCAGTAAATTTGTTGACGTTTCCTTTAGGTGACTGTTTAATTATTACTTCCTGTTAACTTAGTTTTATAATTATTTCCATATTTATTCATATATGCACTTTTACCTCCACCCTTGAAATAGTCTTTACGGGTCATTACAGTATAATAAACGAATGAACAAATTCAAAATTTAGAATTACCGAGGTTAACAGGTGATTAAATTGCAATTACTTTTAATCAGTGGTAATGAATTGCAAGTTAAAATTACCCCAAAAAGTAATGAAATTAGAGTACTTCCAAAACATGAAATAATACTTTATTCGTATTTTGGAGGGGTTCTCCGCCAAGCCACAAGCGTGGCTGTCTTCAAGGACCTGCTGTGGCGTCTTGAGGCTCGGTGCGCTTGTGCACTTTGTAGTTCCCCGCGTTCAAATTCAAATCACACTTCCCGCTTGTTAACATACAACCGAGGAGACAGCCAGCACTTGGTTGCTTCCTCCTTTTGGCCGCCTCTGGATGCATGGGCGTTGAGCCAATAAACACATCAAAGTTTTAACTTTAGGCCTACGTGTATACCCAAGTGCGTCTAAATACAATAAAAAAATGTTTCACAAGAAGCAAGGGATAAATTCAGAAAATTAAGAGGGGTGTAAACAGTGGCGTCACTGGGGTCAGCGGCACCCAAGGCGGTAACCCCGCCGCAACCGAAGCAAACGCGAAGGCATCTTCAGAGCTACCAGGACCAGGCGGATTTCTTCGGTCGCGCACCGGTCACCTAGCTGTGTTTGGAGATATGTGTTTGTCCCTCTTGTTCCCCTTCTCCAGGGATTATTTTCGTCGCCTCTCTGGCCTCTCGCCTTTCGAAGCAGTCTTTGTGCCTCTTGCGCCATCTACCGGCTTTCCCCGTAGCTCCCCCACGGCTGCTCCGTGGCACGACTGCACGGACGCACCAGACGCGAAGTTTAGGTTTAGGCACTATACCACGGGGGGCGCCAGCTCCCAGTGTCCCACTCGAGAGGTTGAAGTTGCGCGCGCGCGGCATCGCTGGCCGAGTGCGAGTTGTCGTCGGGCCGACGCTGCCGACGCCAGTCCAAGTGGGTCACTCGGCCATGTCGTCCTCAAAGTCTGCGCTGCTGCTGGGCCTGTTCGGCGTCGCTGGGACGTTGTGGTCCTTGACGACGGCATCACTGCTGCTCGCTGCGGTCTACCTGGCCCTGGGCGGCTGGCGCACGATCCGGCTGCTTGCTGCCACAGCACCCCGCGACGTGCGCGCTGGACTGGGCTACCTCCGTCTCAACTGGTACATGCGTCGTCGCCTCGCCGAGGACACGACGGTCGGGCGCGTCTTCGACGCCCTCGCGCGCCGTCACCCGGAGAAGGTGTGCCTGATAGAACCGAGTCGCGAGTGGACCTTCGGCCAGGTGTACGACCTCTCGGAGCGCGTAGCAAACGTCTTCTGGGAGCAGGGACTGCGGCCGGGAGACGAAGTGGCCATACTAACCGAATCGAGACCCGAGGCTGTCATTCTCTGGCTGGGCCTCTCCAAGGTGGGCGTCGTGTCGGCCCTGGTCAACAACAACCTCAAACAGGCGCCGCTCGCACACTGTATTTCCTGCGTGCGTTGTCGCGCGGTGGTGTTCAGCGCAGCGCTGCTGCCAGCCCTGCGCCAGGCTCTACCGCTCATGGGCCAGCTGTCGGCTCGCTACTTCTGCCTGGACGCTGCCCCGGAGGACCTCGGGGCGCCCTGCGTGCCCCTTGCACCGCTGCTGGCTAAAGCCGAGCCTCGGGCACCGCCGTACCGCGGCTCCATGAACGACCGGCTGATCTACATCTACACATCCGGCACGACGGGACTGCCGAAGGCGGCCATCATCCGGCAGCGGCGTTTCTTCAGTATCGCGAGCAGCATACGTCACATGATGCCTGTGCGCGACGACGACGTGCTCTACGTCTGCCTGCCAATCTACCACGTGGCCGCGGGCGTGCTGGCGTTGTCGCAGACGCTACTCTTCGGCAACACGGCCGTGCTGCGCGCCAAGTTCTCGGCATCGGCCTTCTGGGACGACTGCGTGCGCTGGAAGTGCACCGTGAGCCAGTACATCGGCGAGACGTGCCGCTACCTGCTGGCCCAGCCGGCCAAGGCCACCGACCGCCAGCATGGGGTGCGCCTCATGTTCGGCAACGGACTGCGACCCCAGCTGTGGCGGTCGTTCGCCGAGCGCTTCGGGGTGCGTGACCTCCGCGAGGTATACGGCGCCACCGAAGGCAACGCCAACCTGGTGAACATAGACAACCGCGCTGGTGCCGTGGGCTTCGTGCCCACAGTGTTCCGGCTCTGGCCCGCCCTGGCCGAGTGGATCCTGCCCGTGAAGCTGGTACGTGTGGACCGGGCGACGGGCCTGCCGCTGCGCGACAAACGGGGGCTGTGCGTTGCCTGCCAGCCCGACGAGGAGGGTGAGCTGGTGGGCAAAGTGGACAGGTCACACATAAGCGCCTTCGATGGCTATGTGAACCAAGAGGCGACCCAGAAGAAGCTGTACCGGGACGTGTTCCGCAAGGGCGACGCAGCTTTTGCCTCGGGTGACCTTCTGGTCATGGATGAGCAGGGCTACGTCTACTTCCGAGACCGGACGGGTGACACATTCCGCTGGAAGGGTGAGAACGTCTCAACAGCCGAGGTGGAGGCAGTGGCCTCACAGGTGCTAGGACTGACGGACTGTGTGGTGTATGGCGTGGCTCTGCCAGGCACCGAAGGCCGGGCAGGCATGCTGGCAGTGCGCGACCCCTCCGGCCGCACGGACCTGGACGCCTTGGCCCGCCACTTGTGCGCCACCCTGCCCCCCTATGCGGTGCCCCTGCTGGTGCGGCTCACCTCGGACCTCCACCTTACGGCCACCTTTAAGCTGCAGAAGGGCCCGCTCCAGCGCCAAGGCTTCCAGCAGCTGGGGGGTGACCCTTGCTTCCTGCTGCAGGGCGGCCGCTACGTACCGCTGGAGGGGCCCCTCTATGACAGCCTCTGCGCAGGTCTCTGCAGGCTCTGACTCCGCCGAGGACACCCAGCCTCGTTAACTATGGGGGAATCTGGGCACAAGTGCAATTACAACTGGGTCTTAAAGTATAACTTGTCCTTCACTCGCAGTCTTGTGACTGCCAGTGAAGCCCTCTTTTCGTAGCCCTGCATTGTACCCCCAGGTGCTGCAATGGGTGGCAAGGAAACCTCTGCTGTCGAGTGTCGCATTGTGCCCTTCGACTGGCTACGTCGAAGAAGTCCGGCTGGCTTCACAATGAGCACAGTTCGTCAACATTCCCAGTTTGCATAACCAGAGTGTCGTTTTATATGCACTGAAAGCTTTTTTTTTTTATGTGCTTAATAGTGCACGAGAACTCTGCAATTTGTTTGGGCTGTGCAGTGAGGTGGTCCATTATCTGCGACGAATATAGATGATTGAGGTAGTAGCTACATTGCTCTAAGTCAAAAGTGACTCTAAAAATGCAGGAACAAAGAGGGTAGGCTAGAAAACAACACTGTGGTGTCTAGCTTGTGTTGATTTCATTCTTGTATAGGTTTTGTTAGGGCTTTTTGACTTGGAAATTATTCAGTGTCCTCAAATAAAAAAGAAAAAAAAAACAACTAAATTCATCATTATATGTCCTTGAAAGTACACTAAAGTGATCTTGAAAGTGATTTTCAAATTTTAGGGTTAATGCATAGCAGGGATCTCCACTGAACAAGTGTTAATTCACACAGTAATCCACCATATTTCAAGAAAACAATTTGTCTATTGTAATGTGTAGTGGGAGAGAGCAAAACCTCGCAAGGGATGTTCCCTTCTGCTAAGTATGAATGAAACATGATATTCGCTGGAATAGATTTTCTTTTCCATTTGTGTTTGCATGTGTGTGGCATGTTCTGTGTTGTAGAGAAATATTAATCTAAAAATTTTAGACAAAATTGAACAGTATCATGGGCCCTCTGTGAAGCGAAAAAGAGCACTTCTTGAAAAAAACAATACAAAATGGTTTTCAATGTGCCTTTGAAATAGATTTCTAAAAAAAGCAGTTTGTGTCAGCAAGCATCACATATACCCGCTTGAGATTACCCGCAGCTCAGCGAGCTCAACTCCCTAGGCCCGTGGGTTGACGGGAACATTGGGGCATAATCATTGTGGTCACTTGCTAAGGATTTGTTGGTGTCTTATACTTAGCATCAGGAATTTAGAATCTTGCAGCAGTGGCGTAGCCAGGGATTTTCTTTTGAGGGGGATGAAGCCCATAAGCCCTCCCCTGGCTATACCACTCTCATGTAGATAAAGCAAGCTACATTATCACCCATCATTTATTTTTTTATTGAATGTGTGCCGAAGTGTTTGCTGTTGTCAGGGTACCCGGTTATTTCTTTCGTTGTACTAGGAACAACAAAAGCCAACAGAAGAAACAAATCGCTCTGCAGTGAATGCAGCATTTATAGATTTTTCTTTGAACTTTTTGCAACAATGGTTTTAGCCTCCGGTCCTTTCTTGGGGACACATGGAAGCTACATGTTGTGCAGTTAAACCTCTTATTGTTGGAGTTAGTATGTAAAGATATTTTTTGACAAATGAATGGGAAGCAAAACATTCTCCTCTCTCTCTCCTCCCCTCTGGCCCTCATCACTCTGTGTGTTCGAAATGTCATCACTAAGCCCAGCAGACCTCTGCTGCCTCAGTCTTGCTTTTGTCTTAATGGGAGTAACTGTGCACCTGGTTTCCATATTTTCAATCATCGGCTTCACAGTCTGGAAGGCAGTGGCGGCACTAGGGGGTGCGGGGGTGGACCGCCCTGTGTGCAGTGCTTGGGGGGGGTTGCAGCTGGGCCATAAAAGGGGTAGGTGGGGAAAGTGCGACCCCCCCCCCCCCCCCTCTTCCTTGCTTCACGCTTCGTTGCTTGAAACGAGACGGGGGGTCGGTCGGTCACGGCAGGCTGCTGTACGGGTGCCGCTGACTTGTGCCGCCACTGCTGGTAGGCATGCCCATTCCTGTCTCTGCAGGAATGGGTATGCCTCACTAACCAACTTCCACTATTGCAGGTTGCCACCTTTAAACTTCTGTGCCTACTTTTACCCCGCAGAGGGATATCATCCTGCACTTTAATATACAAACTAGGTGCTCCACCAATGTCATCTTAATGACAACACAGGTCCAGAATAAGTTTGTTTATTTTTGGAGTACAAGCACATTTAAACCCTCTCCACTCCTACCCCCCCCCCCCCCCCCTTAAGTATTGTTAATTCCAGTGCCATTGTAACAATTGAAAATTCTAACTTTGCCTGGATTTGGGCAACTATGCCACCTGTTTAACCTGAAATACAGATGAGGTGGGATCTTTTAATTGGTTGTCATAATATTACTGCAAGTGTTAGTTCGTATTTAGTTTAAATAGTGATGTAGGATTCCTATTTGGTCCAGACCATGCGTCTTCCTCAAGAATATTCCAGAGTAATTTTTTTGTATGTTTGTTCCCTCAGGAATACAAGAAATCTACTTGCACAGCAATTGGATGCACAAGGGGCATTCAATAAGCCCCAAGCATAACAGAGGAGTCGCAATGCTAAGGCACAAAAGCATACCTTTACGCTTTAACCTAGTCCTGAAGATTAATGCACTGCACATCTCTAAGCAAGTTCTTTGATTCCTGATGAGAAGGCTTTGTCCAACCCCTAAAAGTAATGTTGAAATGCTTCCGTCGGCTCATCATCATGAAATCGGTCTCCCCGTAGGCGCTTCAAAATAGGGAACAGGACAAAGTCGCTGGGATCAAAGTCTGGAGAACAAGCTGGGTTGTTTGTGGTGAGGTATTGTCATAGAGCAGCAGAATGTTCTGGCTCAGTTTACCCCTGCACTTTTCTTTAGTAGTCTGGCATAATCAAACGAGTTTTTGGATATGCTCCTGTTATACTTTTAGATGGAAGGTAATCAATGAGTAAAACGCTGTATTCCCTTAGTGAAAAAGCCATTTGTATGAGAAATTTCTTGTGTCCAATAAACATATCAATCATACAAGATATGTAAGAACATATAAGAAACTTCTCACAAGTTTCTTGTATGGTTCTTATAGTTCTTACATGTTCTTATGTATCTTTTATGATTCATATGTGTTTATTGGACACAAATGTCTTATGCTAAATATTTTTCAACAGGTTCGTCCCCCAAATATTGTTTCCATAACCTTTCCCGCTGATTCTGTCTTGAATTTTTGAACGGCCTGCCCGTGGGTCATCTTCCAATGACTCCCTGCCGTGCTCAAACGATGCTGCCCATTTTTTGATAGTTGCATACAAAGATGGAGATTCCCCATGTACATTTTTATATGTTCATGATTACTGGCTGGTGTCCCTTTCTTTGTTAAAAATTTTATTACTGCATAATGCTTGGTTCTGTTTTTTTTTTGTTTTTTTTGCCTTCGACATGACTACCTTGCGAACAACCTAGTATGACACAAAATCACATGAGAGCAGACTGCTATGTGACTCATATTTATGACCTGGAAGGATGATGCACCACATATGCAACATTCCCTCGTGCAGGTAAACCGCACTCGTCAGGTTTACATCTTACTGGGTGCCAAAGGTACGTGGGTGGAGACTCGCGGCCTCCACTAATAATGGTTAGAAAGCGTCCGTTGGGTTATCCCACAAATATTTGAAACTAGTTGTGAAAAAAAGAAAATAGGAACAGTTTGTAGAGGTTGGCAGTTAGGATTGGAGAACAGGATATTGACAACAGGCTCCATCTGATCAAACGTGTGCGAGTATGGTAGAGTTGTCACCATAGAAATCATCCCCGTGAACTATCGCTGTACCACCTGGGGTGAAGACTTGAGAAGATTGAAGGGAGAAGCTTGACTGCATGTTTTTCAAATTAAATCATAACTGCATTGAGGTAGACATATCTAATCGATGTGGTTCTAGCGGTAATATTAACTCGTTCGTGCATTTGCCTGCGGGTGCTGTTGGCGTCCGTTGCATTCTTTTCGTCCCTCGACAACGCGCAGCATTGGCCAGCTGTGGCCCAGCGCCTGCCTGGGAGTGCCTGCGCTTTTCATGCGGTGGCAGTCAGTTCGTCGACAGTTCATTTCGTCGAAAGCGTCTTTTCGCGCACAATGCCTCGGTCGTCGGCGTCCGGGTGGTGGCCTAACTTGCCGAACCCTTGGCGGTTCCGATGAGGCCTGGTGCGAGCTCGAGTGGTGTGCTTCAAACGAACGAAATGAAGCCCCGGTAATGCAATCCCAATTAACAAATGAAAAAAGAAAAAAAAAAATGAAACGTCGCGGGAGCATGTTCGTGAAACGAGTTGCAACGTAACAGCAGTGTCGACGAAACCTATGCCCATGAAACGTTTATCCATGAAAAGTTGTCCAAGAAATGAGTTATACCATGAAAAACGTCTCGACGAAATGATAGGGATATTTCTTTCGTGTCCGCAGTGTTGGTGTTACGATTTTATGCTGCTTCATATATGTCTTGATGAAGCAGGAATGAACGTGCATTCCTGCATATTTTAGATGCGGTCTTCTATCTCAATCCGCTTTCTGCATCTGCATGATAACACAACCTTACGTCCGTAGGCCTTCACTTAAAAACATTTTAAATGAACTTTTTTTTTTTTTCGCTTTACAGCACGAGAGCGCTACACCATCTAACCCAAAGTTAAACGATTTTCGGGCAATCTTTAGGCATGCAATCTTTAGGCAGGAGCTCCCCTCTTATCAGGATCCTCCTTTGTGCCTTCCGGATTTGCACAGGCGTCTCTGTTTTCCTCCCAGAAGATTATAGGAGATGAACCCGTCACTCAAACTTCTTACAAAAGCAGCTTCCCTCTCCTCCTTTTACATGGTGTTCAAAAGTATGCGATGTGACGTCAGTGCACGGAGGTCCAGTCCGCGTGAAGGCCTGCGCATCACTTAATCGTTCGTACATTTCCGAGCGGCCCCAAGCGGCTGGTCGGACGTCGCAGCTCGACGAAGGTGCGCGGCAAAGCGAGTCGACCCATCGCATCCACGCGTGCTAGCCTAGCGCTCGCTGCGACGCGGACGCGAACCGGGCAGACCTGCGTGGAACCACTATTTATAGTGATGGAGGAAGGAACGCCTCCGAGCGCACCGCTAACTAGCCGCTGGAGCTGCCTCGAGGCATTGACCGGAAAAGTAAAGAAAATAAGTCAACCTATAGAGGGTGTTTCACGGAACGCTGGCCAAATCGCTCCTGCGAAAAATACGCATCGCACGGGAAAAAAAAAAAAAGAAAAATAGATGTATTGGTTTTTGCCAAAGGGCCTATCCAGAAAAATTAAAAATACGTCCGGTATAATTAGGTTGTCAACTGCTTTCGTATAATTAACTTTTAATTAGGTAATTTAAAGATATTGTTCCACTTAGAAGATTGCTGGACATCGTCTGGAACTACTAAATCATCACAATTAAAAAGGAAAAAAAAAAAAGATATAAGGCACGTGCAAAATACTGCAACGTTAAAAAAAAATGAAAGAAAAGTCATTAAATTTGGGCCGACTGAAGTCTATTGTTGCAATGGCGTTCGAACAACCCATTGTCTTGTTTCGCCAGCGAGCGCCACACTGGCGGTTGAACCGCGTTCGCCAAGCGGTTGCGAACGCGGTGGCTTAGAGATACAATACAATAGGGAGTTGTAGTAGATGGTTTGCAAATGCCCGCTAGCGCTACGACCTGCTAAAACTCTAATTTCACGCGCGCTTGGTGACGAGGACGAGCTGATCCGCTTCGCAGTTGCGCTTCGAACGCCAGTTGGAATGCGCATTTCCTTTCTCAAACGAAGGAGGCGTGGCGCGAAATTGAGAGCTTTTTTCCCCCTTTTTTTTTCTTCGGAGCACCGCAGAATGCTGCGCGTGCCTTTTTTTTTTTTTGGTGTGTACTGAACTGATTTAGTAATTTTTGGTGATTTTCAGAAAGTTACTAACTGAAACTATACCTTTAAACTTACTAATTAATGAGTTAATGACTCAAAAGTGATTATTAGCCTTACTATACCAAACGTTATTACTTTTCCTAAATAGCACTTGTAGCAGAGACCAATACGACATTAACCTTTTTTCCTGTGCGATGTGTATTTCCGCAGGAACGATTTGGCCAGCGTACCGTGACAGACCCTGTATATACGCAAGGAATTTCACCACCAATTCAGCATTAAAAAAAAATAATAAAAATAATCGATATGAACAAATTATATTTTTAGGAAAGCGTTGCATCGACCGCGGCGGACGTCAGTGTACGAATAAAAAGTGATCGCAGTGTAATTACTTAAAATCCACCACTCCAGTTCTAAATATTCGCCTTATCTGGCACATTTCAATTAGAAATTTGTGGCCCTTCGCCCAGATATGATATAGTAGTTGTGAAACCGGGGGCAGACGGACTGCTTATGGATCATACAAAAGACAGTCTGCATACAGTTTCGAACGCGAGTCACCGCGAGATCCCTGCTTCGAATGCCGCATAGCAATCAGTTCAAGTCTCAAGGAGCAAATCTTGGCACGCGGCATTCGAACCACAGATATTGCGGTGACTCGTGTTGGCAGACTGCCGTTTGTGTGATGTATGAGCAGAATGACCTAAAGCCCCCCTATC